AAAAAACTATGTCCGCCTGCTTTCTCTTTAATTCCTTAAACATTATCTTCCTTTTAGCAGGTGAATTAAGGCCTTTTACATTTAAGGAAATTATCTTCTCATCCATCATAATTCAACACCAATACAAGCAGATGTTTTGACCCAATAAAATAAACGAACCATATTAGCATATTGTATACCAAAACATGAAAATGAGGGGAGGAAGAGAAGAAGAAAAAAAAAAAACACAACCATATATACATATATACACAACAAACACCTCCTGGACTTACCCAATGCCAGGAGTTAATTAGGGGGCACAGTTTTCCCAGGTCTACTTCGGCCTTGGGATAAACTGCAACTACTCCCATCAACCTGAAACCTAGATTTTTAAACTAATACTAGCAACCTGATTTTTCTTAACATAACATGGGTCCTCTTACACTTCCCTAAACGCCTCCTTAACACATATGAGCTGTCCTCGGACCCTATACAAAACCATTCGAAAACCAAACAACTCCATATTATCCTATAATACAACATTTTTACTGCTGAATTACTATTGAGATTTTATTTTTTATTTTTATCAAACGCATCATTTATAAAATACATACACCTATATAATATGCTTATTTCTTCTCATATATGCCTTACTATATTATTCCATGTATACCAATATGTAATCCCTTCACTTCCTTATTCTCCCCTTCACAATCACCATCAGTATATCACATTATATCCCACTTCCCCCCAACAAAAGAGGGAGGAAAAAAAAAAAAAATAGATTCTACTCATATTTTAAAATCAACTCTGCATTCACTGTGTATCGCAAGAAAGGCTCCTGTGATCAGTGCCGTGATCATGTGATGCTAGCAGTCACTTTTGAAGATATTTTTTAAAACTTAATAAACAGGAATATAGTAGTTGGAAAGCTTTTAATACATTGCAGAATTATATTCCTAAAAAGACCGCTGTACACTAACTTACAGGAATGGCGAATCCCACAAGAGGTTCTAGATAGACGTATTACCGGGCCTTAGAGTGGCCGGACTTAATGTTAATAAAGATAAAGACAGAGTCAGGAATAGCAAAGGTTAGGGACATAGAAATATGGATAAACGGAATATCAAGCCGGGTCAGAATACCAGAAATACACAAAGTCAAATACAAGCCTAGGTCAATCTCAAAATATAACAAGAGAGTTAATATAAGCACTAACGTGTATCAAGGCAGAAACCACGGGCAATAAACAAGTGCCCAAATTAACTTTATATAGGCTAACTTACTTTCTAATTGGTCCACGTCATCTCTGCAGTTCCAAATTGATTAAATATGGGGTCGCCCAGATTACGAGGTCACTTTAAGGGAGGGAATGACATCACATCATTTGAATTGATAAAAGACGCACCTATTCAAGCGGGCAGCGTCTATTATACTACAGGGAAGAATATGGCTGAGTAATTTTTGGTAGCGTGAAGCAGTTAAGTTCCTTACAACCACTAGGGAATCAAGATGATTGGACTGCCTGGTGGTGGTGGGGGTAACTCATTTCCATTTTTCCCCAACTGTATAATGTATACGGAATATAAAAGGAATGCTATAGTTCCTGTCCTTAAATTATTAGGTCTCCAGTCACGGCTGGACAAGTAAAGGGTTAAGACACTTTTTTAGTTACCTTAATTCCTAGGTATCCTCCTCCTGTGATGTCACAATGATAGTGGGACCTGATGTGCATGCGTGGCACTTGCTGTATGCACATTAAAACGTCCCCAAGAAAAACAATGAATCAGTGCTTTCTTATAAGGAATTTGTAGATAGTAGATGTCCCCACGGTTTGAAGATGTCCAACGTTGTTTAACAGAGTAAAACTCTGTAAGTAAGGTAGCAGAAAGTGCCTCTAGTGGATGGTTAAACACACTGTCACTTCACACACAGACACACACAACCTACCCACACACAACACACACAAAGCTTATTAGGTTTTAGTTTGACAAATAAGAATGACACTTGTCACCAGGGGAGGGCTGGCAGCCTTAGGCCTGGGGGGGCAAAACCAGTCAAGTGGCCCATTGCACCACCAAATCAGTTCACCATCAATGCCCACCTTTTCCTGGTTTTATAACGGATATTGATGTTATGCTAATCAGTAGCTCTTTGCCATACCCGCTCCTTCACGGCTCCAGGCACTGCTTGTTGTGAGTGTGAGCCACTGTAAATTAGGGGCAGAGGGCACTTGCACTGCGGTAATGTAGCCCCATGTAGCCAGAGCGCAGCTTAGCGGAAAAGGGCCTTGACAGGGGTTAGGAGGCGGGCATAGGAGGGACCAAGCAGGACTGTGGGATTATGGGATGGGGGCTGGCTATTTAATAGGCAGCCATTTTAAAATGTGCACATTAATTTCTACCTAGCTGTGTTTGTGGTTGCCTCTGGTATTCACTGACCTGCCAGGTAGGGTTTTCTCTTTTTGTCTCCTCTGCAGGGCCATAAAGGAAGTGGAGCGGCTCCTGGATGGGATTCGGGCGGCGGCGCGGCAACAGGGCCCAGGCTGGGCGAAGATGCACCTGGGGCCCCTCCTAGGGGCGGCGGCGGTCGCCCGGCGCGGGCCAGGAGGCCACCAAGGCGCTTGAGTCCGGGCGCGGGGCCCGTGACTCCCTTCACCGGTGGTGCTGCGGCTGGGGAGGAAGGCCGCGGCAGGCCTGGAGGCCGCGCGGTCGAGTCACCGCCTCCCGGCGGCCAGCCAGGGCCTCGGCAGGCGGGCTCTCGGCGGGCTGCGGCCCTGGCAGCAGACGGCGCGCCCCTTGGATTGGTCGGGGCGGCGCCGGGACCGGCGGACACTCCGGCGGCGCGGCGGCCCTGCCGGGAAGCAAGCAGGCAGGCCGCGCGCGTTCTGCGGGAGGTGGGAGCGGCGGACGGAGGAGAGCGGGCCAGGAAGGCACGGACCGGGCCCAGGACGGAACAGGCAAGTGCAGGGGCCCCCCTTGGGGGTCCCCTTGGCGTGGGGCCCAACCTAGGGGTGCAGCCTGGGGGCAGTGTGCCTGTGGCCAGGGGGGGGAGTGGGGCTCGGGTGTCTGGAGGGGAACCTTCTGGGGGGACCCAAGGTAGCTCTCAGGGCCTCAGAGAGGGAGGGAGCGGGGGGGGCTCTGCGGTAGGGCTTCTGGGGTCATCGGGGGGGTCCCTGGGAGTGCCTGGGAGATCTGCTGGTCGGGTGAGGGAGGTAGGTGTTGCGGTTGGTAAGGAGGGGGTTGGTAAGAGGGCGGTGAAGCATAGGGGGCGGGGGGTGTCTGGGGGCCACTTCCAGAGGCAGGGAGGCACGGGGCGGGGGGGGGCTATGCGGGCTCAGAGGCCGGGTCTAGTGGGTCGGAGGGTGGTGGGCCTGGTGACAGCTCCGGGTCAGACTCTAGCAGCATTACTTCTTCACCTGTGAGGGACGCGGGGTCCCTCAGGGCGCGGGGAAAAAGGGGGGCTCGGCGCAGGCGCTCTCCCTCGGGAAGTTCAGTAGAGGCTAGGTCAGGGTCATTGGGGCGGGGACGACAGGAGAGGGCTGCGAGGGTTGAGGGTAGGAGTCGGAGTCCTCGGGGCGGGGGGGAGCGGGCTCACGGGGGACAGCGGAAGAGTGGTGCACGGCGGGAGGCCTTGGTGGCAGGCAGGCGCTCCCTGGGTCGGGACGGGAGGGGAGCCAGAGAGCACTACCCCCTGCCCAGGATGTCTTCTCCTCATTTCAGGTCTCCGAGCCGTTCATCATCCACGTTGGCGAGGCACCATGTGAGCTCCCTGGTTGGCAGGACGTCGGCGGATGTTGCGCATCCAGGTCACGCAGCGGTTGACAATGCAGCCCCGGGTACGGACGGATCGAGGGGCTTGGCCGGTGAGTCCAGAGGCCCCCTAGGGTCCAATACACTAGTTCAAACACTTCAGTCACTGCTCCACTCATTGGGGGCGGGGGGTGGCACTTCGGGCGATGTAGGTCAGGTTTGGACGCGAGGGTCCGGCGAGGTGGGGCATGCTAGCGGGGCTCCCGTGGTAACCGCGCCCAGCGGGGAGGCGGGTGTGGAGTCCAGCCCGGGAGAGGTGGGGTGCGAACGGGCGGAATTGTCGGGGGGAGTGTCGGACGCGGCTAGGCAGCATGCTTACGTGTCATTCGCGGGCCCGCTGGGGGTGCACCTCAAGCAGGAGGCGAAAGAAAAAATTTGGAAGGGGGAGTTCTGTGAGATATTCTCCCTTCTTCCTCTGGAGGACTTCATTGACCTCAAGGAGGAGGATAAGAAGGACGAAAAGAAGGAGGAGGAGGAAAAGCGGAAGCGGTATCGAAAGATACCAAAGTCCTTCGGGAACTGGCTGAGGGCCTTCTGCGTCCTAGCCAGTGTGATAGGGGAGAAATCGCCGAGTTCTTGATCTTCCCTATTCTGTTACTTAGATGGGATCTGGGAAGCGTATCGCACCTACGGCGGGCTGGCCTGGTGGCGGTACGACGAGCAGTTCCGGCAACGCTTGGCGGCTAATCCTGGGATGAGGTGGGACCAAATGGACCTGCCCCTGTGGATGAAGCTGATGATGGCGCAGAAGGCACAGCCCTTTCAGCACGCGGCTGGCGCAAAGGGACAGTCCGCCTCGTCGGCCGCCTTGCAGAAGGGCTTATGCTGGTCGTTCAACGAAGGTCAGTGCAAGTGGGGGGCGGCCTGCCGCTTCAAGCATGAATGCGCGGGCTGCGGTGGGACTCACGGGCTCCAGAGATGCTATAAGAAAGGTAAGTCGGGCGGAGCCGGAGCTCCTCCAGCGCCCGGGGGCAGTGGGACAGCTGCTGTCCCGGGGCCTAACCCCGGTGAGGCTCGACGCGATGGTGTAACGAGAATATACCCCAACACGCAGGATTCAGCTAAACAAAAGACAACACAGAGGAGAGATACGTCTACCGGACCTTAGAATGGCCGGACTCGACGTATTTGAGAGGAGACAGAGTCAGGAACAATCCGAAATCAAGGGCACAGAGAGACAGCGAAAACTAGGACAAGCCGGGGTCTGGTACACAGTAAACAACAAGCCGACAACCAGAACAGATAAGGATAAAGAGAAAACGTAGTCAGAAACAAAGCCAAGGTCAATACGGAGAAACATAACTGAACACAACAAGCGCTAAAGGGAACTGATACAGAAACCACGATAGGGCAAGGAACAAAGGAAAGAAGGTGAGTATAAATACCTAAACATCTACTTTGATTGGTCCCTGTCACATCCACGCCCCCAAAAGGTAAGTGTATGGGAAGTGTGGCATGACAGGGACCAATGGGATGCCTTTTCCAATTTAGGCACCCACTGTCCCTTTAAGAGCGCGCCCGATACCCGCGGCGCGCTCTTAGAGTATGTGGAACACGTGACCGCTACTAGTTACAGCGGTCGGCTGAGCCGCGCGCGGCTCGTGCAGCAGCAGGACCGCGCGCGGCTCGAACAGAGGACCCCGGCCGGCCCCTGGAAAGGGTAAGTACCGCTACAGATGGAACCCTGGCTAAGCCGCTACGGTAATAAGGGGGACGCGGAACTGCTTAGGTCGGGGTTTGGACAGCGGTTTTTCATCCCCTTCCGGGCAAGGGTGGGTTCGTTGTGTACGCGTAATCTGAAATCGGTAAGGGAATTTCCGGATGTGGTCCGGGAGAAGCTTAGTAAGGAGGTGCAGTTGGGCAGGATGGCAGGTCCATTCTCAGCGCCGCCGCTTGAGGGCCTTAGGGTGTCACCACTAGGGGTGGTTCCCAAGAAGGAGATCGGGAAGTTTCGGCTCATTCATCACCTGTCCTATCCTAGGGGAGCGTCTGTGAATGACGATATCGATGGGGACTTGTGCTCGGTCTCTTATGCATCATTCGACCAGGCGGTCGAGCTGGTTAAGAGGGCCGGGCGTGGGGCTTTACTGGCCAAGGTGGATATCGAAGCTGCTTTTCGCTTGCTTTCGGTTCATCCGGCTTGTCACCATCTACTGGGGTGCTTCTTCGAAGGAGGTTACTTCGTCAACTTATGTCTCCCGATGGGCTGCTCCATTTCGTGCTCCTATTTTGAGAAGTTCAGTACCTTTCTCGAATGGGTGATGCGGGTGGAGTCGGGGAACGAAGCGGTGGTGCATTATTTGGATGACTTCCTCTGCGTGGGGCCGGCGGGTTCTCCCGCCTGCCGGCACCTGTTGCGGACAGTTGAGTGGGTGGCGGGCCACTTCGGGGTGCCGTTGGCGGCGGACAAGACTGAGGGCCCGACCGAGTGCCTCAGCTTTCTGGGTTTAGAGATAGATTCGGTGCTTGGGGAATGTCGGCTGCCTCTGACTAAGTTGTGCGGACTGCGCAGTGCGGTGACCGCGGTGCAGAGGGCGCGTAAGGTGACCCTGCGGCAGCTACAATCGTTGATCGGGATGCTCAATTTTGCCTGCAGGGTGATACCTATGGGTAGGGTGTTCAGCCGCAGCCTGTCGGCAGCCACCGCGGGGGTCGGTTCTCCACACCATTTCGTTCGGGTCTCTTCCTCAATGAGGGCTGACCTGGACGTCTGGAAGGTATTTTTGCAAGACTTTAACGGGACGGTGTTCTTCCGTCAGGAGGGTGTGTCTACGGCCGAATTGGAGCTGTTCACCGACGCATCGGGTAGCGTGGGTTTCGGGGCCTACTTCAGAGGGAGATGGTGTGCTCAGAAGTGGCCGGAAGCGTGGGGGCGAAGCCCCCTCATACGGAACTTGGCTTTTCTGGAGCTGTTCCCGTTGGTGGTGGTATTGGCCCTGTGGGGGGATCGGCTCCGCGACCGCAAAGTAGTCATTTTCTCTGACAATATGTCGGTGGTGCACGCCGTCAATAACCAGTCGGCAGCATCCAAACCGGTAGTGACACTATTGCAACGTTTTGTTTTGCTGTGCATGTCCCTTAATGTAGTTTTTCGCGCGCGTCACGTGCCCGGGTATTTGAACGAGGTGGCTGATGCTCTGTCTCGTTTTCAGTGGTCCTGGTTTCGGGCGGCGGCTCCGGAGGCTCAGGAGACAGGGCAGGCTTGCCCGGATGAAATGTGGCAGCTCGGAGCATCATGCTTGGGGGACTTGTGAGGGCTTCGCTGGCACCTGCCACCTGGACCGCATACAGTAAGGTTTGGGGTGCCTGGGAACGTTCCTGGGAGGGGCTGTGCCAGGGGCCACAGGTGGAATCGTCGCAGGACGCCTTCCTGTGGTTCATTTTTCATTTGCTGGCAAAAGGTGTGTCCCCAGCAATGGTTGATAGGACCATGGCGGCGATGGCCTTTTGGTTCAAATTCCACGGGTGGGAGGACCTCACGAAAGCATTTGTCATTAGGCAGGCTCTCAAGGGGTATCGGAGGGGCCGGAGGGTACCGGATGCTAGGCGCCCGGTCTCGGTTCGGGTGCTTGGGAATTTACTCCAAGTGCTTCCTGGAATCTGCTTCGACGGGTTTGAGGTAGCCCTGTTCAGGACAGCTTTTCTCTTGGCCTTCTTTGGGGCATTCCGGATAGGGGAATTGGTGAGCGCCACGTGGTCGGAGTCGGGGGGTCTGCAGGTATCCGGTGTTCGCATGCTCGCAGGGAACCTGGTGGTATACCTGGCTACGTCCAAAACGGACGTCATGGGTAAGGGCCGGGATGTGACGCTGGGTCCCCTGCCCGGGTCATCGCTGTGCCCAGTTGCGGCTGTGGCTCGGTTCTTGGAACTGAGACCGGCAGTCGGGGGGTCTTTATTGGTTCATGCCAATGGCTCCTCGCTCTCTCGTTTCCAATTTACTAAGGTGTTCCGATCGGGTCTGGGGGCGTTGGGGTTGAGTGCTGCTGCCTACGGGACGCATTCCTTTCGCATAGGGGCGGCCACTGAGGCCGCGCGCCTGGGCATGGGGGACGAGTTAGTCAAAAGGATTGGGAGATGGGAATCCGCTCGGTTCCGCACGTATGTGCGCTTGGGTTTGTTGGATCAGTGATGCGGGCTGTATCGGTCG